GTCAGAACCTTTTTGGCTGTAGAGGTATGTCCAGCATTTGGCATTTTCATAATTTTCTTTTCCTTAATTGTGTACATTTTAAAATTTACCTTTGATATTTTAGACAGAAGGAATCAATATTTTCCTCAATAAAGAGGAATATTACCCTCAGTTGAGGGTAATATTTTGTTCCTTTCTTATTATATACAAATATTTCTTCTACCTGTTTGTTCCCTAAAATAAACTGTGTTGCCTTCACCCTCCCATTTTTGCCTGCTCTATTTCAAATTTATTTAATTTATATAAATTTATTAAATTAATTTTATTTATTCTAGAAACATCTTATCTTTTCTCATTTTTACTTAAATGCATTCCAAGCTATAAAGCTCCTACGACCCAACAAAAATTGATTTGCAAGAAACTAAAAGTGTTATTGTTTCACAGTGTCATTCCCCAAACCATTCTATACTTTTTCCTTTCACTTTAACTGATGGAAAATGCATTCTTCCAAATGTTCAAGACCAAAAACCTAGCATCTTCTTAAAGCCCACAGAAAACTCATCAAGAAATATGATCTTCAAATCATTTGGACAATCTGACACTTCCATTGATACTACCTGGCCCAAACCTGGACTATAGTCAAGCCATTGCTGTATTCCTCTATGTTCTCCTACAACCACTCTCACTACACCAGTCAAACAGTCTTTGAAGAATGGAGTTTAAACATTTTGACCTCTACTGCCTTTCTCTTACTCCCTTCCAGATAATCTATATTCCTAAATGTTACTTTAAAGTGCAAGGTAAATTCCCCCTTAATATTTTCACACTAGTTCTTTTCATTCTTCTGCAGAAATCCACCCCCATTTCCTTCAGGGATATTTTCAAAAACTATTCTGATCATCTTACTTAAAATTGCCTTTACCCTTAATATCTGCTTTCCTGATCATTCAAATCTTGTTTGTTTCTTTCCTTCTTTAACCATTTACATTAAGTTGATCCCTATATTTAGTATATAAAATCTGTCTCCATGCACTAGGACATGAACTTCAAGTGAGCAAGGATTAATTTCTCTTCTGTGCACTAATATATCTCTCAGGTCTACAGCTATACTTAGTACAGAGCAATCAGTCAACATATATGTTAAATAAATAAATAAATAATGAATTAATTAAATTAGGAATACATGAGCCAGTAGAAAGAGCATTGCAGAATGTAATCCTCTTTTAAAATTCTATACACGTTGATGTGGATAGGATTCATTGTTATACACATTTAATTAGAGAAAAAAAACACTCCCTATGTGAAACAGTCAATCAAATACTCCTTAAATTGGTGGAAAATATTGTTGAATAAATTCAGTATCACTTGAAGTGAAGATTATTAAGCAAAGCATCTAAAACATTTTTGAAAATCAGGAAAAAATGCTAAAGTGGTAAATAATTATATTAGAATCATCTATAAAGATTTTAATCTCAGTAACAAAGTTGGGTTAAGTAACAATGTGGTTAGCAATGTCTCACAACTGTAAAAATAAAATCAGTTTTGTACTCACCCCCAAAAAGCTATCCAAATAATAGTCAAAGTGCTGAGAAATACAAGGCTGCACAGATCTGTATAATGCAGGAGCCAATCAGTTTGCTTGTGGATTCTCTGGGTCCCTTGTTTCTCCTTCTTGTGTTTATTGCCTAATATTTGCCCACCTCAATGTTTGTTAATCTACTTACAAGAGAATAATGTAGAGAAACAAAAGGAAATTTAAGTAAGTTAAAGCTACTCCTTGATGGCAGCCAGAGGAATGTGTTTGGATCTTGCTTAGGACAGTTAAGAAACTATGTGTACTATTTCCAAGATGCATATAATTTTGGAAATTGGTTGCTAATAATTAGTTTGAACCAATTCTATTAAGGTAAGCTTTGGGTCTATTTAAAATAATGTAAGCTCAAAGAATGAAAAGAACCAATAATACTGAATTCAAAAAGAGTAAGAATTCAAGGAGGAGAAGACAGAACGACCAACATGAAGAGATCTATGACAATGCTACAGAATCATCTATAGTCAACACAATGAAATCTACTAATCTACTATGGGCAGGAACTGCAGCCATACCTGCCTCTACTGATTCTAGCAGTAGATACTGGTTTAAAATTTTCAAAAAACTTCTCAGAAATCACTTCTTTTTCCATAATTTTGATGGGTTAAGTAAATGAATAAATTAAGCAAAACACCTAATGTACAAATGCAAATGTCCACTATGTCCAGTACCAATTTCTATCATCTTATCTGCCTATTTTCCCAAGTGTTGCTAGTCATCACATTTTAAGCATTCATTGTTCTTTTCAATTTTTCAAGGATAAAACCCTAAAGAAATATTTAGATGGTAATTAACATATGGCTAAACTGTCTCGGGAAATATGAAACGATAGATTAAAATGTGCAATTGGGACCTGCTTTAAAATGAAAGGCAGTCTACTGATAAAAGTGTGTTTATTGTCTTCAAATGCACAAGAAAATATAATAAAAACTCTACTTAAGCATTACAAAGTGGTTTCTTTTAGAGAGAGTATTTTCCTCTCTTTCTACCAAAGTGCACAAAATGTGTTGTGCTTTTTAGAATTACTTGAATATGAGTTCTATGGGAAGAGTTCTACCTCATTCATTCCTGACTCCCTTGAATACAACATGGCTTATAATTGGCAATTAGCAAATACTTCTGAGTGACTATAGTATGCACAGACTATAGTGTACTTGGCACGGAAATGGAGTCCATCTGCTGCTACAAATCACTGTACATACTTACAAAAAACAAAGGTAAATAAAGGCAAGCCAGTATTTCATTAACACCTAGGAGGGGAAAAAGGACAACACGACTATTTTTACAGTTTCTGAATCACCATTTATAAAACATTGGAATTCTGCTAAAGAACATATAGCCAATATGTAGCATATGTTAGTATAGGCATAAATAAATTTGAAAGGGCTAACAAATTTTTAAGCCAAGATAATAAGAATTATTTGAAGTGACCAAACTTGACCTTCATGTTAGAGAACGAAATGAGTCAAAGAGTTGGAAAGAAAATTTCTACTACTATATTTAAAAACAGCCTTCTAAACTTGCATTTTTATCTATTCAAAAATTACTATTTGTAAAGAAAATTACACATATATTCTTTACGATGCAGACTTTGTGATATCAGTAAGTAATAAATGAGAATTTATTTCATAATAGAATATATTATATTTCCAAGTAAAATGCTGAGTTAGGAATATATAAAACACAATACTTTCAGACTATGTACCATGCAGCTTCAAGAACAGTCTATAGATACCATTCTCAGTCCAATAATCTAGTCCGCATTTTGCCAAAGTAAATAGTATAGCTTGCATACCGCTCTGCCAATTAACTGATAAAGTGGATGAAACCAACAATCCAGAGAAAAATGAAAAGTACAAACCAAAGAACAATGAAAAATGCATTTCTAATAAATTCTTTTCTCTCTGAAGTCATATGGGTGAAAGGTCACTTAGTAGCTTACTATCTTACCTTCTGGCACCTTTATCTTTTTCTTGATCACACATTTTTTATGCATTGCGCTCTATTTATGCACTCTTCAGTAACATCTTTATTTATGACTTTGTGAATCAACATCATTGTGATAGGAGCAAAAGTCACCTAGCTAATTACACATACTTGATAAGCTGTATAATAATAACCACTGCTGTAATGCACATAAATAGAAACCTTGAAAATTATTGCAGTTATTTGCACTTGGGAAAAAACAAGAAACTTTTTTTAGTTGTTCAGAAACACCCCATGGCCTTTGTATTCATCTTTGGAAGTACATTTTGATCTTAACCTGAATTCAAGCATCTATAGGACAAATAAAGATCAACTTCCATTCTACCAGTATTACCAAGAAAGGTTGGAACAAAAGTCAATTTAATGCAAATATTTCTGACCCATAGTTGAGAATATTATTTTAGGAAGTGTGTTCCATATAATACAGTGTTACTAAAATGGCACAGTTGTGAAACTCCCAGCCCTACAAAGATGCTGTAATGATATCTGAGTTGGTCCAGTCAGGAGATTAGAAGTGCATAGAGAGATAGAATGTGCAGTACTAGAATATTAATACGACTTCTGTATGAAGATTGGAAATTCTAGAGTTATGAATAAGGTCAAAATAACTCATAGATGATTTACTACCGTAAAAACTCATACTCTCCTATGAGTGATTTACTGAATGTTATATAAAAATGGAGGGTGGACACACTACATTCAGATACAAGCTTGCAGCTGTCACTGTCTCCATTTACTCAATCTGCCTAGAGGATGATTTGAAGGTTGATTTAATTGTAGCTTCTGAATCATGTTCATCCCTGTTTTAAGTTGTTTAGCATAAATATAAAAATGTTGAAGTAATTTTAAGACTAAATATTTAGCATGAAATCTAAAAATCTCTTTCTCTTCAGAAAGACAAACTGAAAATGAAAAGACTCTAGGAAAAATGCATTTGCTAAATAATGCTATTTGCCCCATAGTTTTGACAAATTTATTTTTTAGATAAGAAAGTTTGCAAGATGTTCAGAAGGAGTAAAGAATAAACAAAAAACAAAGTTTGTTACTGAGCTGATGAATTTGAAGAGAAACAAAAGCCTACGTCTGGTCAGGAAGAGTTCAGAGCTCTGAAAACTGAGCAGGAGCTAAGGCAGCACTGTCTGCGATCCATGAAGGCAACTGAAAGGCCAACCGTATTTGTCTCTATACACAAATTGCTACAGTTCTAATTTTTGCTTTTACAGCACTAAAACACACGGCACCGCCAATGAACTCTGTCAAAGTTATCTACTCAAAATTCCGTTTATACATCTTTCTATTCCTAGATAAACTTAATCAAATTCTACAATTCACCTAACCATTCACTTGCCAGCATCAGCAAATCATCCTTAGGGAGAGTATCTTGTTCTTCCTCTGTAAGCTTTTAACCCAGTCTTTTTTTTTAAATTTTCACTTTTATACATACCTCCTTTTCTACATATTTTCTTGCCGGGCTTTCTGGCACATTCCTTGGATATTCTTTTTACTGAAAAATGAATAGAAGACTAGAAAATAACATGGCGCTCCATCACAGACCGCCGGAACATGCAATACCACTATCTAACTCAATGCACTCCTGCATCTGACTGAGTGCGAAGGGTCCCCGATTCGTTGAGTCTGCACATGCAATGAGGAAATGTTGATGCATCTTCTCAGAAGTCATTTGGTAGGAAATGGAAACTGGGAGCCCATTTCTACCTAATTATACGTGCTGTGGAGGAAAGAAGATGAGTAGGCACAAGAAAAAATAATACACTGACACACATAAACAAAAAGAGCAGCATGCAAGCATGTAAAGTATGTCTACATGCCAACAGGAAAAGCCATGCATACTACCAGTACACATGAATTAATATTGTTAGAACTTAGAATAGAAAAAATAAATAAGTATATCTCCTTGGTTTTTTTTTCCTGCAATAAACTCACCATCCTCGGTTGGGACATATATGTTTAAATATAAGCAGTCTTCACTCTGGTCTTGCACGTACGATGAGACTACATCCAGGTTATTAGTAAACCACACAGGAAGCATAACTTCTGGCAATCTGCCATCAATAATATTCTGGGGACACACAGGAGCAAATTGAGTGGCGTTCCTGATGTCTGACCAGGGAGACGGTGGCTCTGGAGGCTGAAAACGATGTTCTCCTGTTGGTGGAGCTGCATATGGAACCCCAAGAAACTGAATAACAGGCCCTAAAATTTCATTATTGAGTTCTTTCTTAACCCCTCTTATCTTTCCAAAGTTGGTAGTCACCAGTGGGTCCACATCATCCAATTTTTGTGAAAGCACGTGGGTAGCCTGAAGCAAACTTCCCAAAATACAGAGAATCAAGGAGGCACCCAGTCCCCCGTGTACCAAACATGCCATCACTGCTCTCCAAACATAATTTGGCCACATGCATCTGGGAAGTGCCATAGTCCCACATCAGTTGTCTGGCTGTCTGGTTTCAGTGAGATAAATGTACTTATATCCACTTGAAAAAGGCTGTATAGTGATAGCTATGCCTCCAATTTTTCAAAGGTGAACTTGTGGAGAAAAGCTCGGAAAGCTCCCTTCATGCAGCAAGTACCTCCCATTGATTTCACATGTATTGAAGCAGCATCTTCAATCATCACTATTTATCAGGCCATATCCTATTGACCATTCTGTTTTCCATAGTAGCAATATGGCAGAGTGGCCACTGACTGTAGATTGCTTTCTTGTAAATCAAATCCAGTTAGCTGCGAGTCTATATCCTAGAGAAAATAAAAATAAATCATTAGCACAAATAACCTAAAATAGACAGAGTGATAACTAGATGTTTTACAAGCTATAGGAATACATTAATAGTGGCTAGAGTCAGGTAAGTTAAATACAACTGTGGAAAAATTACAGTTTGATGTGAGATGACAGATAAAATAACTGATTATTAGAATATTGAGAGACTTGCCTGCTGACTTCGTACATGCTTAAGTGGAGGCAGGTCTTGTCAAAATATATAGTTTCAGGAGCATTTCACAGTAAAGTATTTTTAAAATACTAAAGATTGTGTGTGAAATTTTCCTTTTATTGATAGTTCAATCACTTCAAGTGACTACACAATTAATCAAAAAACAGACTTAAAATTAGAATTCAATACCAGAAATCGTTTCTTTAAAAAAACTTGTAGTGCATTAGTGGAACATAAAATCTGTAAGAACACACACACACACACACACACACACACACACACACACATTAAGTGGTTCCCATTCTCATGCATGTGAAAAAATGAAAACTAATGCTAATTCAGCCAGGTCAAGTTCTTTGTTATGTCTCAAAAGTTTGCATAAAATATTGGTTATCAATCTCCTACTTTAAATTTAGACTCAAGAACTTGAAAGAGAAATAACTGGCAAAATTTGAAAATGAGAAAGTTGACATCATTTTGCAAATTAAATTATTTTACCATCTAGATATACTTTTAAGTAACAAATTTGCAAAGCACAAGTGAATTTCTGAGTCAAACTGAATATATTTTAAATTACAAGTTTTAGTCTCACTGTCTGTTAGAAAGCAAAGAAAGAATTTTAAAAAGTGTGGTAATTTAAAAGAACAATCACATCTAATCATGGTGTCTTGCATATTAACACTAATCAAACATCTAACACTATTTACTCAGTTCAACTTGAAATCTTCAGAATAAGTTGTAACATTTAGTGCAGTACAATTCACTGGGTAATCTCACATTGACTGCCAAATAGGATGCAGCTCAGAAAAATGTCTTTTTTTCTCAAGCAAGCTTTTAAAGTAGTTACTTTGAAAATAATAGTGTTGATTTGTATTAAGGATGGTTTTATCCTATCATATTATGTGAAAATTCCTGAAGAAGTGCTGGTCTGCCAGTGAAATTGCCATTATTTGTGTTATTTAAAAGGAGACTGAGAAAGCCATAGGGCAACAGGAGATTTTGGTTCTGGCCTAATGTTCCTTTAGCTCTGAACAATCAATCACAGAAGGCAATAAGGAGACGAATGTCTTTCAGAACACTGCAGTCTGCGTTAATTTCTGTTTTCACCTCAGAAGCAGATTAACATACAAAAGACAGGCTCAGACCCATCCTTCTTACTCCAGCACTTGTGGAAGACTTAGTTATTCTTGTATAGATTCATGGTGGGCCATGCACACCTAAACATCTCTCTTATTTACCTTTTTTATTTAAAATGCACCATTTTGACACCTAAAATACAGCACAATAGTGAGGCCTTAAAAATGTTCATTTTTTTATTCAGTGTAATTCTCAGGTTTCTAAAACTTTTTTATACAATCTCATTAATAATAAAGATATATCCTTGTTTATTAACAAAATAATTCCTTTTTATTCTAAAATACGGTGAACTATACGAAGAATAAAGACCTTGTTTCTTACTGATGTACAATTTCAGCATAAACTGAGAGAAACTGGACTTGCTCATAGCATGTTGCATTTTAAAATTTTTATGAGTTTATCTCCAGGATTTATCAAGACATTCCATTTTACATTAATCTACATAGGAAGTGCTAAAGTGTTGACTCCAAAAGATTTTCCAGAAGTCATTATTACATTAATAAATCTAATACAAAATTATGACTTATTTCAGTTACTGAAACTATAACAGAAATATCCCTAAATACAAAAATTCTAATTTGTTGACTTTTTCTTTTTATCATTTACCAATGCTTTCTAAATATATGCTAAACTATTAGCTTTTATAAATTATATTTCATTTGGAAAAATCCTGTAAAATGGGTCTATTATCTCTTTTTATACATGAGGATATGAGACAGAGTTTGAATATATTGGACAAAATCACTTAACTAATCAATAGCAGTTCCAATAGCCCATTGTTATTAACTGAAAGGTTATCTTCTTGATCATTTCATAACATAAATTCTCAATGCATAAGCACTCTCAAACAACTTAATTCCAATGTTTTTAAAATCCAAACACCTGTATATATTTTATGTTTCCTAAGAACGTGGAATCTAGTTAAATACTCTGAGATACTGAGAATTATATAGATACTGAGAATTCTAAATGGTTTACTTTATTTTACCTTTTTTTGCTACATGAGGAGCACAGTAATATATGGAATTACACAAGATCATATTAGAACACTCATTTGTATAATGATTTAATTACATTTAGTAAATAAAAAATTCATAATAACAAAATGGCCATTTGTAAATACTGATGAGTGAATTAGGAAGTATTTGCAAACTGCAACTTTGTATGTCAGGGAAAAAAAGCACATAAATCTGAAATATTAGTATAGGTAAATCTCAAATACTTTGAGCAAAAGTTCTGGAAGATTATAGATAGTCAAATATTATTTAAATAAATGCTGAAATAAAAACCCCAAAGTATAAAAATAAACAAAAAATACATATATATCTAATACATATAGATAGATATATATTAGCAGGAGATTGTCCCCCTCTGAATAAAGTAGAAAAGAATGAAATTAACTCTGGAAATTAATTAAATTGTATCAAATTTAATAACGTATTATTAAATGAATTTGACAAAGTTTTAGTATTTGATTGTATAGGGTGACATAATGCACACATACGTCTTTATTATGAATTCTCTGTATTTCCTGAATATTATAAATCTTTTTAAATAAAAACATTAAGACAATATGATCAGAAGACTACTACTAGTCAGTCCAGGCCAGTCACATATTACCAGTAGACCAGCCTATGAATTCACATAGAACCAGCCTCCTCTGCCTTCACAGTTAATGCAGACAATTCATAAATTTTTCTGTTACCCAATTCCCTGAAGTAAAGTATGTATGGTCGCATTAAGCAATAGAATAAATAGTAAGTAATATTTAAAAGTGTATGATACGTGGTAATATATTATCTGACTTGCATTAGTTCATTAAAATAGCTGGTCCCTGAACTAGTTTTCTCCTCTGGAAACCAGATAAATAAGTAGAGAAAACTGTCTGGAATATTAGATAATTACAGTGAGTAGACACATTGATGCATTTTTTTCCCTTACCTAACAAGTATTTAATGGTAATATACAATGTGAAAGCTGGTGTGCTCAATATTATGGAGAATTTAAAGCAAATACAACCCAGTCATTGTTCCCCAGTAACCTATAATATTATAGAGGACTAAGTCACATAAAATGGTACCAATGCAGGACAGTAGGTGACAATCATTCAATTAGTACAGGAATGGAGGAAGTGAGACCTCACTTTCTATTTTATATGTCTTTAAAAATACTACCTCTTTATCTTTATTTTGTTTTTTAATGTTGGATTTTATGTCTTCGTTTTGAACCATGTTCTCTGCTACGGAATTTTTAAGAAACTCTCCCTTCCCTCACCATATTGGGTGTTGAACCCAGAGCCTTCACATTGAGCAATATCACCTTCTCACGCTCTTTCTCTCTCTCTGTCTCTCTCTGTCTCTGTCTCTGTCTCTCTCTATCTCTATCTCTCTGTCTCTCTCTCCTTCTGAGACAAAGTCTTGCTAAAATCATCAAGTTTCCCAGGCGGGACCTAACTTCGATCCTCTTGCCCCAGCCTTCAGGTTGCTGGGATTATATGAGTGTGACACCACGTTTTGTTTGAATTTTCAAAGATTTAAACCCTTAAAACAATTCTTCTGAGAAGATTCTATTTTCTATAGCATGCAACAGAAGGAAAAAAAAAAGTGCCTTGAGGTCACTCTACCAAAAAGTACCAGAATTGGCATTTACAACCCTCCATTCACCAGATGCCAAACAGAAGCCTGTGTTCTGCACCATGCTGCCTCTGTCACTTCCCTCCGCTGATCATAGAGCTCAACCAAGAGTACATAAGATGGCCTTTGTTTGATTTCAGTTAGAAATGTACTCAGAGACTAACTCAAACTTTTGCTGATTTGCTCACCTATGTGGAACAACTGAAAAAACCCTGTGTGATTTTTGAGTTTCACAAATAAAAAATTTTTATAAGAAAATTTGTAGATACAGAAATATTGAACAGAAATGAATAGCAAGATCAACTGTATTCCCTAGAGACTCTATGTCTGTGTACTTTTTGAGGTCAAACCATGCCAACCTGTCAAGGTGTTAATTAGGTTCAGTAATGTTAACTAAACAAAACATGGATTAAATAGTAACTATTTCAGTGCAATGCCCTGGTTTTTAATTGTCAAGTCTAGTGGCTATGAAGCTGGAGAATGCCTACATGACCAACTTACTGTGGAGAGCCTAGATACCAATCACAGTATCCTATACCACATTGTCACTTGTGCATAGTGGCACTAACTAAGGATGCCCAGTGTTAACTAACATTGGAAGAACAAATAAGAACCCATCCCTGGCTGTTACAGTGCTGCATTCTTTGTCTGTAGTAAAGCTGTCCAGTGAGCATAAACTATTTAGTCCTTTTAACAACTGAACACTTAAAGTAAATAATTTGTAACTAGCTCACATACTAAATACTTCAAGTAGTATAACTAAACGTGAATGTAATCATCAAGAACCTTTGTGAGGTTCTAAGAGAGCCAGATCAACAGTTAGTTAGAGTACATGAATTGGGGGGAATTTGCAATAGGATTTGAGAATTTCACATGATTTAGATAAACACTGAATGAATCCCAGGCAGAGGACACAATCCAGAACAGTGTGAAGAAAGTGTATGAGACCCTGTGGTGCTCATAATCCCTGGGCAACCCACTTCCAAGTGATGGGGCCATGAGAATGTGCAGAGGTCTGGCCTTCCTGTTTCCCTGA